TTGCTTCAAGAACTTCATTAAGAGGAACTGGACCGACGAGGATGGAAACTACAAGCTCCAAGCGGACGAGGTTGCCACGATCAAGCGGGAGTTGATCAGTTTGATGATCTCCGTGCCTGCAGGCATCCAAAGCCAGCTCGGAGAAGCTGTCAGCGTGATTGCGGATAGTGACTTTTGGGAGAGATGGGATACCCTAGTGGATGTAAGTCATGGCTAGCACATACCCGTTGCTGGGTTCTCAATTGACACCAATAGGATCTTGTTTCCAGGCTCCAACCGACCAACCCCACTGTCAACAACGGCGTTCTACAAGTTGCGCACTCAATCTTCAAGAGATGGAGACCATTGTTCCGGTCGGACGAGCTGTACAGTGAAATCAATCACGTTCTCGAGCGATTCGGCAGTCCCTTCTTGGCTCTATTCGAGGTACACATACTCCGGAATGCCCTACCGTCATTGTCTTCCAATACAAAATTGCGGTGTTCTTGAGCTGATTGATTTTAGGGCCTGGATGCTTTCCTCCAACAAAACACCGCCAACAAAGAAAATCTCATCCAGGGATTTACCCAGCTCAACTTGATGGTCAAGTTGATGTACGACCTCTCTTGCCACGATCTTCCACCCATGTTCGAAGAAAATATTTCAGGGATAGCTTCACTTTTACTTAAGTACCTCACATACGATAACCAACTGCTGCACACCGATGATGACACCGAAGCCGGGCCATTGGAGTTCGCCCGCGCCGGGATTTTCCAAGTCTTGACTCTGTATGTCCAGAAGTACATGGATGAGTTCAAGCCTCATGTCGGCCAATTTGTCGACAGCTCCTGGAACTTCCTGACCACCGTTGGGCAGGAGACCAAATACGACATTCTGGTTAGCCGAGCTCTGCAGTTCTTGACTTCCATTGCTGGCATGTCTGAGCACGCAGTTGTCTTCCAAGCGGAGGGCACGCTTGGCCAGATCATCGAGAAGGTCATTTTGCCCAACGTTAGCTTGCGCGAGTCCGACGAGGAGCTTTTCGAGGATGAGCCCATCGAGTTCATCCGTCGTGACCTTGAGGGTTCCGACAGCGATACCAGACGCCGTGCCGCCACCGACTTCTTGCGCCGGCTGTCTGAGAGATTTGAAGAATCCGTCACTACTGTTGTCCTCAAGTATACGGAGCACTACCTTGCGGAGTATGCTAAGGACCCTGCTTCGAACTGGAAGGCCAAGGATACCGCCACTTATCTCTATTCCGCAATCGCAGCCAAGGGAGTTGCTACTGCCAGTCACGGTGTAACAGCCACGAACTCGCTCATTAGCATCACCGATTACTTCCAGAAGCACCTTGCTGCCGATCTTGTGAACAGTGAGGGAGTCCACCCCATTCTCAAGGTGGATGCCATCAAGTATTTGTACCTCTTCCGGAGCATCATAACCAAGGAGCAGTGGCAAGAGGTGCTTCCCATGCTTGTCAACCAGCTTGGTTCTTCGAACTTTGTTGTGTACAGTTACGCCGCTATTGCTGTCGAGCGAGTTCTTTACCTTGCCGATGCCCAGGGCCAGCCGATTATCGCTCCTGGTACTATCACTCCCTTGGCTAAGGATCTACTTGAACACATTTTCTCCCTCATTGAAAAGGACCCCGCTCCCGAGAAGGTTCAGGAGAATGAGTTCTTGATGAGATGTGCCATGAGGGTTCTTATCGTCATCAAGGAGGGTGTTGTTCCCCACACTGACAGTGTCCTTCAGCACTTGATCAACATCACGACTGTGATCAGCCGCAACCCCAGCAACCCTAGGTTCTACTACTTCCACTTTGAAGCTCTAGGTGCCTTTATCCGGTATGTGCGCGATCTGGCCATCCGCGCTTCAAGCACTGACCTTTTCCCAGTTTCGCCGCCCCTGCAAATCCGGAGAAACTTGAGCAAGCTCTTTACACGCCTTTTGCTGAAATTCTGCAAGGCGATGTTCAAGGTAATATAGTCTGCAAGCATAAACCCTTACGGACTGTTGCTAATACTGATATATCTACAGAGTTCATGCCTTACATTTTCCAGCTTTTTGCTGCTCTCCTCGAGGCCAATCCTTCCGGAACCCTGCCGAGCTATTACCAGAACCTGATTGGACCTATTCTCATGCCTGTCATGTGGGAGTCCAAGGGTAACATTCCGGCGCTGGTGCGGCTATTGTCCAGCATTATTCCTCGTGGTGCTGAGTACATCATGCAAAATGATCAAGTTGCACCTATCCTTGGTATTTTCCAGAAGTTGCTCTCCACCAAGACCAACGAAGGTTATGGATTTGATTTGTTGGAGGCGGTCGTTACAGGCTTCCCGCCGTAAGTCGACTATCCAGCAACAACTCGCAATGATACATGTCGCTGACAGCTCCGCAGTGCGACGCTTGAGCAATACTTCGTCTCTATCATGCAGGTCATCCTCACTCGTCTCCAGAATTCAAAGACTGAAAACCTTACTATTCGATTCGTTCGTTTCTTCCACTTTGTCTCCGCACAGGACGAGAAGGGCTACAGCGCCGACTTCTTCATCCAGGTGGTCGACAAGGTTCAACCGGAGTAAGAATCTTTCCGTCCAGTAACCGCTAAATTGCATGCTAATCTATGTTCAAAGCCTGTTCACGCCTATCTACTTGAACATTATCCTTCCAGAGACGCAGAAGCTTGCCCGTCCGTTGGACCGCAAGACTGCCGTGCTGTCATTCACCAAGACTCTGGCCAACTCGGAGGCATTTGCCAGCCGCTACAAGAAGGGATGGGCATTTACCTGCGAGGCTCTTCTCAAACTTTTGGAGCTTCCTCCTCTTCCTGCTAGCAAGGACGACATCATTGCTGAGCACGATGTCGAGGACATGGCATTTGGTGTCGGTTTCACCGCGCTGAACAGCATTCGGCCCGTGCCTCGTGATCCTTGGCCCGAGACCGGTGCTGATCTCAAGGTGTGGACGGGCAAGTACCTGAAGGAAGCGGACGCTAAGTCTAGTGGTCGGATATCTGGTTTCGTTCAAGAGCGTCTAGGAGAGGATGCCAAGCGCGTGCTCTCCAGTTACATCGCATAAGCAACTTCGACTTGGGTTGTCATCCTAAGGCTGGGTACTTTGCTGGAGTTCCTCAATTTCTTTTTTGCATATTCCCCTAAAATAAACCATGGCGAGGAAATAGTATGTGGGAGCAAGCAGCCTCCCTGTATGTCCTGATGAACTATAAATGAACATTTTCAATCTGCTATAATGGTTTTATGTAATTGAATCTGTATGTACAAAGGCGCGTATGCATCTCGATTGACGTGCCGGTTCGCAGCGCGTTGTCTAGAATGTATGGAGAAAACGGAAAAGCTGCAGGACCTGCTGTAACTTCCAGGGAAAGGGTGGTTAGGGGGCTTGTTTATCTCTTCTGCTCAGGCTCTTGTGCCTCCGAAAGCTCGTGGGCTGTTTCTCCTTCTTGACAAGGGGAGTCAATATTGCTCGCATCGTGTTCTCCCTCGTCAGATTTCTCCACTCCCTCAAGCTCTTCCATTGCTCCTTCCCGACCCTTCTCCAACTCACGATATTTGCGCCGGGCCTTCTTCACCTTACTTGCCTTCTTCTTTCGCGCGCGGTCGGCCTTGATGGCGGCGCGACTCTTGTCCCCATTCAGCAGCTCTTCGACCTTATCCGCTAGGATGTGACGAGCATATTTCTCATTTTGCGACCTCGATCGGGTCGCTTGCGACTTGACCACTATGCCAGTGGGCTTGTGGATAATCTGGACGGCGGAATTGGTTTTGTTCTGGACAGACCATGGCGGATGAGTTAGCGCGTGATGGCCCTGCACAAGGGAAAGAAAAAAAGGTTTCCGAATGGCTGGTTCCTTGAGAGTGACGTACAATTTTTTGACCACCGGGACCGGTGCCCTTCAGGTATGATATCGTCAAGTCGGCATCTTGAAACTTCAGGCGAGGAGGAAGTGGCTTCTCAGCCAGAGAGAGGGCGGAGAGGGAAAATGACCGCCGCAAGAGATTGGGAGTTGAGATGAGTGTGAGGGGGTTAGTATGACGAGCTAGTTGTGAGGCACGAAACATGGTGATTGAAGGGAGTTATGGCAGTAGTAAAGACAGTAGTAGCTACGGAGCACATGGTGCAGTGAGTAAGCCTACAATATACTCGTAACTTAATGCTCATGATTTGCTTGTAATGTATTGATGGTATGTCCTTACCATACCAACTCAGTACACTGAGTACTACTTACAGTAAGTTTCTTCAATAACTTGAACTTTGACAACCTTCATTATTACACCTGATATACCATCACTCATTCAACATTCCCTCATAGTCGAACAGTGGCCGTGCATTTGGAACCCTCACGGCGTTGTGTCCCGATGAGGTTTGAATTGCACTCTGAATTGTTTCTGTACAGCCATAGAAAATCCTCTGCTAGTGGAAAGGCTGACGTACGCTTTTCTGTGGATTCATGGAGTGACACGCCAATCATTCATCGAGCACAGCCTCTGGAACCAAACTTGCCGTTACGATACGAGTACGAGAAGCAAAACTGTGCATAAAATGAATGCTACTCAGTACACAGTAGACTGCCAGTCAGTAGGACTGGACCCTTAGTGGAACCTGAGTCTGGTCGACACTTTATCTGCTTTAGTGTCCTGCGGCCAATTTGAAACAGTGTCCAGATCCAGCATGGACTTGACGGGGGCTTCGATTTAGTCTTCCATTCGCTCCCTACTGCTTTTTTTTGAGGCCTACTCAATCTTAACGGATTTCCCAACCATTCTACTCAGAGTACAGCTGCTGTTCCTTTTCTTTCCACTCCCTTACCCCCCCCTCCCCACTTTCGGAGATACAAAGGGCAAGTTACCTGCCACTTCACTTCTACCCTGGTACTCCTACTGGCTCTTTGTCTTCTCAACCGGCTGCGCATAAGTCTTTTGTGAACCTTTTCTTGTCCCACGGAGATCCCTTCAACCCGCACTCCGTTGTCTCACCCGCTTACCTATCGGCCATTTTACTTGTCTGCCTAGACTATAATTTCCTCAGCCCATCGCTGCTTTGCTTCAGCTGTCAGTCTCTCTGTCTGTCAGATCATGGATGCTTGGTAGATCTTGGCACTACTTGTTCTCATCCCTTCTTCAACCACTGCTCAACAGAGTGCATCTCTCCTAAGAGCATCCGCGATAGATCCCCTGAAGCCGACTCTCCCCACATCACCATCGCCTGATTGCCACACCATATTCCTCAATCAGTCTTATCAGCTGCCTATCCTCAGTCAGATCGCACGCGTTCGCAATTGGCGGATTCACAGCAATGACATTCCTGCTTTGGCTTGTCACGAGTCTCGTGCGCTGGGTGCGACTGAAGATTTATCAGTATGAGGTGACTTTCGCCGTGTATATGCTCACTCCCACCGAAAAGTTCATCTTTAGTATGTCAAGCTGTGTCCCTCCGAAGCGATCTATGCTTAAGGAACTATTTCCCCCAATCCCCAAGATATGGTGCGCTAACGCGGGAACTTGAAAAGACTCTCTCCTCCTCACCCTCCTCACCATGATTATCACCGGCATTTACGTCTATTTGCCCGATCATATCCGAGCCATCTACAGCCACTTATACTATTACTGGGTCGGCGAACGTCCATTCATCTCCGGGAACCTTCCGACCATCAATTCTGTATTCCGCGAAGTCGGCACTCAGACTCTGGATGTCCTCTATGAGACAGCCAAAAACCAAGCTGCCACGGTCACCGATTCGATTGCCGAACTCTGACCTCCTTCGTTGCCTTGGTCTGCGCACTGATGTGCTTTCTATCTCCCCACCTCTTCTCGGATTTCGGCTTCCGGAAGTTCGGAAACAACGATGCACTTTGTTTGCTGAGGTGCATTTTCAGCTGTGATACCGTGGGGGCCAATTACCATTCTTTCTGCTACCACCATTCCCATTAATACCGCTTCTTAATTCACCCCCACATCTTTTCGCCCTCGAGCATGAATTGCATCAGCATTGCACGATAAAAGCGCAGCTTCTTCTACCTCTTGGTTCATGATACCGTTGCAACGTTGTTTCATGGCGTTTGAGCGATACAATCTTCCCTGGGCCGGCGCATTCTAGGCGTTCATCATCGTTAGATCCTCTTCCTTGTGATCTTTTCCTAGAGCTCTCCACCTCGACTCGTCTTCCTGTCCATACTGTATCGAGGCTGCTATTGTTATGAGTGAATATCCGTATAAAGCCTGTCGAATGTTGTGCATGCCTCCGCGGCCACTTGGCCGAACATTGTTCGTCGATGGCACCGTGAAGAATAAGCTTGGTTCTGTAACGCGGATTGTAAACTAGACTACATATCGTAGCTACAGCGCAGCGTATCCGTGCGATTCGGACATGCAGACACCGATACTGAACATACACTGCCAATAAGCATCGAAGTCCAATTTTGTCCTGCAGCTAAAAGAAAGAACTCCCGACAAAAAAACAGTCCCCAATCCCAAATATACAACTCCGGTCATGCTCAGAGAAGAGTGTTATACAACAAGAAAGAAAAGAAATAAAAAACAAGTGAACCCCCCGGCCAGAGAGTGTACATAATCAACGTACCGAACTCACCATATCGGAGCGGACATGGATGCCCACACCAACCCACTATCCGCTGAGGGATACACCGCAAGCCCATCAATCAAAGAATGAGTCTGCTCGTCCCCGGGTCAGGATGTCAAGGGAAACCTCGGCATACGCAGCATCCATCTCACACCGCAGCCTTTTTCTCCACCCCGCTCGAACAAACAAACAAGCCATCACATCACTCAAAAAGGAGAAGTTACTCCGCGCTGGCAGATCCTTCCATCTGCGCCCGGGCCTGAGCCAGCTGCAGCTCCGCCTCCGCCTCCGCCTCGCGCTGTCTCCGCTCCCGGCGGATGGCATCGTTCATGCGCATGCGGTTCAGTTCGCGGTCGATCTCCTCCTTCTCGAGAGGGATCTTGTGGGATTGTTCGGCGGTGGGCCAGAAGCCCTGGATGGTGAAGCGGTCGTCGAGGTTCGTGCCGAAGTAGTACATCCAGCCGATGGGGAAGAGGATGTAGGTTCCGAACTGGCAGGTGAGAAGGGTTAGAGTTAGTTGGTGTTCGGTTTCCATGGGCATAGGATATGCATGTAGGCAGGCGGGGATTACCTTGAAGACCTCGAGGTTTCCACCCTGGAGTTTACGGAGGATGGAAGACATTTTGTGCGATTTGTGGCGGAGCGGAGGGGGGATGTATTAGAGTCCGATGCCGTATGTGCGGGTATGCTTTGTGGTTGTGTTGGGATTGATCTGTTTAGATTGATTCTGGGAATAGTTGTCTGTCCGGTCTCAAGCCAGTCAGTCTCCGGGGCGAGAACTTTTGGTGATGCTTCCAATGGTCCGATACGATTATCTTCACGGAGCTTCTAACAAGCCGAACCCGCCGCAAAGCCCGGGATCTGTGCAAACGCAGCAAACACCCCACGTGCAGCAGAAGCCAGGAGAGGTCATGTGACCCCGTGCTACCAAGAACTTGGCGGTGCCGTGAGCCTCGGCTTGTTTTGTTCCATGCTCGGCCCGCTGGAATCTCCCCGCATAAGCCTAGCGTTCTGCAGCCCCAATATTTCCCCGGAATAGATATACCGGCGGTTTCCTCCCTCCCTGTTCTTTATTCCGTAGAATTTGATGTCCGGTGCATTAATCTGGTCTCATTTAGCCTCGTTGCATACCGGTTTCGACGCACAAGATCGTGTGGTTTCAATTTATCGACCGCATTTGTCTCATATCACCGCAGAAAGTGCATAGACACATACATCAACAACTGGAATTTCCCCGCATACATCGCTCTACCACTAGCACAAGTCCATTCAACATGACCGATGAGAGCCTCATCACCATCACTTACCAAGGCCGAATCGCCATCATCACCCTGAACCGACCCCAGAAACTCAATGCCCTTGATCAAGACCTCTACTACCTCCTGGGCGAACGCCTGCGCGAAGCCGACGCGAACAAGGACATCTACATCACGATTCTAACTGGCAAGGGACGATTTTTCTCCGCGTGAGTCTCCGCGCTCCCCCTTACTCTCGTCCTCCGCCTGCCCGAGCGGCCGTACCTCAAACCCAACTAACTCCCCAACCAGCGGCGCCGACGTAACCATCTCCCGCCCCAACGGCGGCAGCCTAAACACCAGCGCGCGGCGCGACCTGCTGCGGGGCTTCGTGGCCAACAACCTGGACATCACGCGGACGTTCGCGCACCACTCAAAGATCCTGATCGTGGCGCTCAACGGGCCGGCCGTCGGCCTGTCCGCGGCCTTAATCGCCCAGGCGGACTTCATCTACGCCGCGCCGCACGCCTTCCTGCTGACGCCGTTCTCCTCGCTGGGCCTGGTGGCCGAGGGCGGGGCGTCGCACGCCTTCGTCGAGCGGCTGGGCATCGCCAAGGCCAACGAGGCGCTGCTGATGAGCCGCCGCATCCCGTGCGCGGAGCTGGTCGCCGCCGGGTTCGTGAATGGCGTCGTCGCCGCGGATTCGGGGCGGGCAGACGACTCCGATGGGTTCTTGGGGAAGGTGCTCGCTGAGGTTGAGGAGCGGTTGGGCGAGCATTTGAATCAGGATAGTTTGTTGAGGATCAAGGAGCTGGTGCGGAGACCGGCTAGGGAGGTGCTGGATCGGCAGAATGGGTTGGAGGTGTTTGCTGGGTTGGAGCGGTTCATGAGTGGGGTGCCGCAGGAGGAGTTTCGGAAATTGGCGTCAGGGGAGAAGAAGCATAAATTGTGAGATGTTGGTCGGGGGTTCTCGTTGAGGAGATTGTGCTTATATTGCGCTGTGTGGCTGATGGGTCCACGCTTGAATGATACATCCTTCAAGCGCGGGGGGGTTCTTGAGTTTGTATTGTGGACAGCTCAACAATGGTTGAATTCATAAATCTAAATTTGATATCATATATTCTATTTTCAAGAACGCCCTCGAAGCCTTAACACCAGCACCTAACCTAATACCCTCATCATAAGACATCACGCGTCCGAATCGGATTCCTGGGTCTGCTTGGCCAGGATATCCTGCCACTGCCCGAGAAACTCGCTCATGCCTCCGGGCCCAGTAAGGGAGGCATCTACTACTTCCTTGGGCAGTTTATGCGCGGAATACTGTGGCGTCGTGAAAGCATATGCTTCGGGGTCATCTCGCTTCACCAGCCGGAACTCCGCGAACAGCGGGGCATCGTCATCGTCGCTCCCGCTCTCGTCCTCGGATTCCGACTCTTCCTCTTCCTCTTCCTCCTCATCCACTGCCCCGTTGACACCGTTGTCGGCACCACGGAGAGACAACCGAACGAACTGCTCTTCCGCGCCATCGTTCTCTTCCTCCTCCAGGATACCGACGGGGTCCTTCATCGTCAGGATCTCGAGCCAGCTGAACAGCAGCGAATCGGTCCGCTCGGCCCATGGGTTGATGTCGATCAGCCAGACCTTCTCGTGGGGCGGCGGGATGTAGACGTCGAACACGAAGCTCGGATCGGGGAAGGTGCTCTTCAGCTTGTCGTCGAAGAACGCCTGGATGCGCGACCGGAGTGCATCGCGCATGGGGAACAGGAAGTCGAAGTGGTTCTGGTCGCGCTGGCAGATACAAAGCAGGACGCGGTTGCGCACCCAGCACCGGAACTCGAGGGAGGGGTTGAAGTTGACGTATTTGCGGAGGATGAGGTGGTAGGGGACTTCGGGCGGAGTCTCGGAGGCCGCGGCGTCGGCGGGTGCGGCATCAGCGACGGCGGCAGTGTCGGGGACGCAATCATCGAAGGGATGTTCCAAGTCATGCGTGATGAAGTCACTGCTCTTCAGTAGCAGGTAGATGTCGTTGGGCGTGCGGCACTGTAAGTCGTTGGTGGCCGACATCCAGGTTGCATCTTTCGGAGCACTCCAGTTCAGCTTCGGTGTCACTTTCCCCCCGTATTCGCTGATCGTGGACTTGATTTGAGTGTGGATCTCGGGCCATTCGACAGACGGGTCTGCCTCCTCGGCCTCGCCATCGTCGGAGAAGGTGTCGAGGTTGTCATCGTCGTCCGTGGGCGGGGCAGCCTCCGGCGGCAGAACAATTCCGTCGGCTCGCAGGTAGGAGACGAACTGAGCGCTGAGGGGAATTACTCGAGATTTGGGGACAAAAGACCGGTACCTGCAGAATGAGAAGGGTCTCAGTCAGTACGCCTCGACAGGGACTGGCCGGGGATGGGTCGAACGTACCGAGGTTGCCAGCTGTGATACGAGCAGTTCAAGATGTGGGAGTATGTAATCGGAGGAAAGGGTAGCCTTGTCAAGGGTTCGGAGGGAGATCCGTCTGTGGCAGGTGTCTCTGGAGGGTCGATTTGCGGCATGGCGACGTAAAATGTGCAAGTAATGCGATGTTAGATGAGAGATTGTATTTGCCGAAAGAATGGTCCCTTGTCGATCGCAAAGACAGTCTGCGGGGCAGCCACTTTTTTTTTGGAGTGAGTCAAGTTCCTTGCCAAATGGGGAATAGTGGGCTCCCAGACGGACAATGCCACGTGCTGCCTCAGGCACAACTGATCGTCATCCACTCGTTCTGGCCTGCGTAGCAACATCCAAAGGACCCCCCCGGCCTTATCGGCGTCACCGTTCTTCGGCAGTCGTTGGCCATCTTTGCCAAACACTCCGTTGTTTTTTTTTTTTTTTGCCATGGCTTCAGACAGTCCGGATCCTCAGAGCCTGAAATCATGGCAGGATGCATTCCAATATCCAATTCCAACCGTGCGCCGCGTGGAGCAGGAGCTGCGGCGGGACATTGCGAGCAATAAGGAGAGGCTCCGAGCTCTGGTTGGGTATGCCGTGGTTGCCCCAGGATAGAGATTGACAGGCGGCTAACTGTAGCTTGTGCATATAGCACGCGATATAGAGAGCTTGTGGGGACCGCAGAGAAGATCGTTTCCATGAATCGTGAGATGGAGGAAGTGGATTCAACGCTGGCAGACATAGGGCGAAGGTGTAACCCGCGGTTAATGGAGAAAACGTACACTCATGTCCAGGCAGTCGCGTCGAATAAAGGTGCAGCTGTTTCGAAGTGCGCGATCGATTCGTTATATACTGATGGCTGGTACCAGATTCTTCCGAGCGCGCCCTCACAGGCCAGCTTGCCTTACTTCATCGCGCCGCAGTGTCGATGTCGAGACTCCTCAGACGGCGAGGCCCGCTCCTACTCGTCGCCAAGCTCATGGTCATCTCACGGCTGCTTCATAAGACCCTATCACAACAACCGACAGTGCCACCCTTCGTCGAGAACCTTCGCAATCAACTGGCTTCCCTCCGGCGAACCCTGCTGCGAAGAGTCGATAAGCGCCTTGTCCCTGCCAAGTCAACGCCGGACGAAATCATTGAAGCTTTGGCTGCCTATTGCCTAGCCACCAGCTCTTCTTCAGACGATGCTATCCGGTACTTCCATCAGATACGTCTAGACGCTATTGGGAGCCAGCTCGAACTCAATGACCCTTCAGGCGAGAACATCCTGAACAGCTTGCGCCTATACATTCGAACGTTACAAACTTCCAGAATCCTACTTTCGCGGCGGCTGTCTGACGTACTGAACAAGTTGAAAGCGCGGCCACTTCTCACAGACCCCGAGGTTTGCGGCCTGGACGATCTGGACCTTGGTGTCTTAGGGCGATGGGTAACTTCAGACGTCAGCAACTTCACTCCTTGGATCAAACTCAGCGAACTGTCCAGGGCGGAAGTCGATAACATTATCAAGACGTGGTCAGAAGCCGCCTTCGAGAAGTATATGCAAGGGGCTCGAGAGTCATTGAAGAATTGGTCGGATTTTTCCAAACTCCTTACACTTCGTGAACAAGTGTTAGAATTGTGGTTAGGCTCTCGGAGCTCAACGCCCGCCCACTCGTCCCTGCAGGTGTTGGAGGGCATCAGGTCTGTCTTGAACGAACGACTCACCGGCATTTTAGCGGACCAGGCAAAAGACTTGGACAAGTTCGGCCAAAGTATTGCTTCTACCATCGCGGGCTGGAGCAATTTGGATCACACATACTCTCACTCACTATGGGACGAGAGCCTCATCTCAACTGACTACTCCAATGGCTCCGCTTACTTTAAACAAGCTGTTGTGGATAGGCTTTTGGGACGAGACGGGGACATCATCACGTCTCTCGGAAAGTACCAAGCTTGGCTTCTGACAGTAGACAAGTCCAAAAGCTCTATCGACGGTTTGCGCCAATTTCGATGGTCTGATATTCTTGATGAAGGCGAGGATGAAGATCTAGACGTGGACATTCCGGCAATCTTGACCGATGATGATCCCCGGTTGCTGCGGGAGGCTCTCGAGGCTGCTATCAAGGAAGCTTTCGAGACTCTTGATCGTTCGTTCTGCGAGATCTTTAAAGCGCTCGAGAAAACGAGTCTGAATGAGCAGGTCGCATTTCTGCTCAAGCTCATCAGGCTTATCCAGAGAGAACTTCCCGTCGGCTTTATCCCGGCGGGCTACACATTCGCTGATGGTGTTATCCCTCAATTACAAGAGATACTTGCTACCGAGATAGTGGCGCACACGCGGCCATGGAACCCGCCAGCTAGCTCAATTGAAAACTCTCGAGGAGTTCCAGGTCGTTCCCTCTGGGAAGGTGACCCTGCAATCCCTGTGCAACCGTCACCATCGGCGTTCAAATTCCTGCGCCGATTAACGAAATCTATGAGCCAGTATGGCCCTGGGCTTTGGGACGCTTCGACCGTTCGATGCTTCAAGAAAGCTCTGCAGAAAGAACTTGCCAAACCCATTGTCTCCAGGATGGAAGAATTGAACTCATCTTCTTCTCAGAATGGGGCTACTGATTCTAAAGCGGAAGTCAACAATGGCGAACCGCCAGATCTGAACGGGGATGAGAGTCCACAGCAAAAGCCGCAGGCTGAGATGGAGAACGCTGATCCCTTTAAATATTTACAAGATCACATGGTCCAGCTATATTTTGACGCCTCTTACTTCAAATCTGCCTTCGAAGTTGGTGACTTGGAAACGAGCCACTTGGCGGACGTACTGGAAACGATTCGCGGAGAGCTTGAACCTCAATTGCAGGTTGCGAAAAAGATTGACAAAGCGGCCCACGAGCACTGGGAGCGAACCTACCTTCTATTCGGTCTCCTGGCAGAGAAGATCGAGACATAAGGTGTCAGGTGTACAATCGTTCTTGTATATAAAGGCATTCTTCACACCACTCTTAGAGCTGCACAAATGGATCCAGACCAATCGCAATCCGTGTATAGTTAGTTACAGACTTGTCCACATTAGGTGTAGTGTCCGCGGGGGAAACTCACCGCCCACGTCACGTTTCCTCCGGTGACAATGACTTCGCCGCGGGAAAAGGCAATGCGTTCATCTCCTTCTGACCATTTTCATGCTGAGGCTGGTTGTTGCTCGCAGTGCTTCCTGAACTCTTCTACTGTCCCTGCTCAACCTTCAATTCCTTCACCATGGCCACTCCTAGGCTTCCTTTCCTCTATCCGAACCTGATGCGAGCGGTCCGATCATGCGAACCCACGACCCACCGCTCCATTCGCGCTCCATACTCCAGCTCCCAGCAAGCCCCCTTCCACACTGCCCGAAGATACGCCCCAGAAACCTACCATCGACGATACGGACCTGCCGCAGAAGCCAACCTCCCGCCCCCTTTGAAGCCCAAAGACGGTTCCTCTGAGAAACAAGCTCCCGCATCCCCAGGCCAGGAAACAAGCACTTCGAACCCTGCCCCGCAAGAACAGTCATCGCCCGAAGAGGACGAGACCCAAGCTCCTGAGGTCGATCCTCCCCAACCCAAAGACAAAGCCACGAAATCGAAACAGCCCAGTGAAAGCAGTGTGACTCCAGTGAAGGCGGAGCTGGAATCGACGCCAAACCCCAAGAAAGACACTGAGCCCACGATCTCCGATCTCCAAGATACCGCCTCTAGTAAAGAGGCAGTCCCCATACTCATCAACAACAACAGCAGCAACAATACCAATACTAGCAACAATGAACGCCACTCGCTCGAGGAAACACCGTTCAACCCGCACATCCTCAAGCAGAATCCGCTGGAGGGCGTCCTCCACATGCCGTCCCCGTCCTCCTACCTGACAACGGGCGGCGGCGCCGCCCCTGACCCGACGAGCAACCCCCCCAACCTCTCCCCGGCCCCCTACGTGCACTACTTCGACACCTACTCGCTGGTGCGGGACCTCTCGAAAAGCGGCTTCTCCGACGAGCAATCCATCACGATCATGAAGGCCGTCCGCAGCATCCTCCAGAGCAACCTCGACCTCGCGAAACAGAGCCTGACCTCCAAGTCCGACGTGGAGAACGAATCCTACCTGTTCCAGGCGGCGTGTTCGGAGCTTCAGTCCTCGCTGCAGATGGCCCGGGGCTCCGAGATGCAACGGCAGCGCGCGTCCCGGACCCAGCTGCAGCACGAGGCGGACATCCTCTCGCAGCGATTGAACCAGGAACTCGCTGGGCTGAAGGACGACATCAAGGGCATGTTCAATGACCACAAGATGTCGACGCGCGAGCAGCAGCGCAACATCGATACCTCCGTGCAGGAGCTCAACTATAAGATCACGGTGTCGCTGAACAGTGATGGCAAGAGCGAGATCGAGGGCCTGCGGTGGATCCTGACCAGGCGAGCCGCGATGGCCATCGCCATTAGTGCTTGTGAGTTCACCGATCCCTCCCCCTTCCCCTCCCCCCTTCCGTCTTGTTATTCAGGGTAAATGCTGACGCGCGCAGCAGTCATGATCATCCTCTTCCTCAAGTACTACTCCGTCCGCAAAAGCGAAGAGAAGAGCAAGCAGAAAGCCGACAAGCCGCCCAACGAGGCCAAGGAAAGTCGGGTCATCACTCCGGACCCCGTCCGGAAGCCCAAGTCGACCCCGGCCCCGACCATGATCCATCTGGGCGAGTCTCTGGGCTAAGTGAACCGCAGCTTGCCTAGGGCTCGAATCTCGCCAGTGCCTCTATTTGACACACCCCTAGTCCCACTGTATAACATAACCACCTTTCCCACTTCATAGACTTCCCCTCCCTCTCTTGGCGGCGGGCTTGACGGATGACCTGATCGATCAGACTTCACTGTTTCCATATCCATATAGATTCTCCTTGCTTCCGTGATCTTGCCTTGAACATATACATACTCGCTTGTCTTGTCCTTTCCCCCAACTGGCCAACCGCTACTACGCCGCTGAGTCATGTCGATACCCCTCCCCTCCCCCTCCCCCTTTTCTTCACATTGTTTCACACCCAAATAGCCCGATTGAGCGTATAGATAGAAAAAATACAGTTTACATCGCATTATGTTCTATCAACGATTATGCACGCCTCTATAATCCCCTTGCGTATCTGCTTAGTCTAGACCTCTTCATATATGCAAAGAAGCAAACAGAACAAGCCAAAAAGCACAAACAAAAAAACAGAACCACATTCGCGCAATGACTTTGTTATCATGATCTGCGTACAACTGAGTAGGAAGGGAGAAGATGGGGATTAATACTCTTCCTCTACTCGAAGCCAATTATTTCCACATTATCCTGGCGCATGGAATGTCATATAACATCAACAAGTTAAATCAACAAGAACTCATGTACGTCATGCCCTTTCTCCACCTTCTCTAAGAGATTGGACGGAGGGGAAAAGAAAAGGGGGGGAAATATGCAGAGGGATCAAACAAAGTCACAACACATCGACATGAAAAGATGACGGGAGGCAATGTGAAGAAGAAAATACATATCTCTGGACAGGATGAAGTGATAAATGAGGAGAACAAACAAGTGTTCAATTTGCAATTGATGAACAAGAATGAGATGGCGGAGAGGGTTTGAATATACGCGGTAGTAAGGACAAGAAGGAGGACAGGGTGCGTGACGTCTTAAAAGTCCATCCGCAGGGCAATACTGGGCATGCTCTGTTGTTCATGGTCCGAGTATGCGCGGTCGCGGCCCTGCTTGGTCCCCGCGCCGGAGGTCGCGTCGGCACTGCGCAGGATATCCTCGAGGAGGGTCTTCTGGGCGGGTTGCATGGTGGACACCAATGCGCGGAAGATGGCTTGATTGGCTTTGGCGAGCTCGAGCAGGTGAGCTGATGTCTCGGTGTACACGGCCGGGCCCTCGCGGTCAGCGCGGGCGAGGAGGGCAGACATGACGAGGGACATGGCAGTGGGCGTGGCGTCTGCGGAGAAGACGGCGGTCGTGACGCAGGAGATCAGGGTGCGCGCGGTGATAGTTCTAGAGTTCTCCGGGTCGTTGGCCACGTCACCGTTCTCTTTGGGGCACCCGACGTAGAAGCCGATGAGGCGCGGGGTGAGGTAGCGGGCGATGCTTTCGCTGGTGGTAGACTTGGAAGAAGAGGTTAGGAGGATGGAGCGGATACAGCCCGCGGCGACGTTGGCGAGACCGACGTCCTGGAGGCAGTCGAGTAGTTCGTCTAGGACGCAGGGGATGACTGGGTCGTGCGGTGGGATAAGGTGACCGCCGGTGGTGAGCAGGATAGCGATTGCCAAAAGCGTATTCTTCGCGCAGGGTAACGACGACTCGGACTCTCGCCGTTGGGCGATGGTCAGCGTCGCGAGGAAACGAGTCAGGCAACCGCGTAACTGGCGAGACACAACGGCCAGGTTCTCGGGGTCGTCTGGCCCAAAGTCCCGGTTGTTGCTGACGCTGCTGATGAAATGTTTGAATGTGGGCAGAGCTTGGGGGACTACCTCAGCTTGGCATAGCCCCGTCGCTAGAATTGTGCTGAAGATATGTAGGATGCATGCGTTGAGGTCATTGCGTATAATGGAAGGGAATATCGAGGCGACATTGACCAGCGAGGAGAGGGAGAGCCGGATGAGCGACAAAGCGTCTTCTGATCCCACACTGAACCGTGCGAGAGGCGTGGACTCGCGCAAGTTAGGTAGTAGTCCCGCAAGGACAAGGATGATGCTTCTCGTCAACTCGAAAAGCTGTTCGATGTCATCGGAAAGATGGTCATCTCGACCCTCGCTTCCCTTTGCTGACGGATGGTCTAAAGAGAGGTTGCGTGCAATTTCCACGATCACGTTCTGTATAGGGGTGCCTTCAGTCAGAGCGAGGCGATCAAGTGAGTCCATTGTCTCCGAGAAGATAGCGTCCTGGTAGATTGCGTTGCCGGAGATCACTGGTCGTAGGATTCTCTTGAGGGCCTGGAGAATTTCCAGTCTTTGTGACGGGGTGGTGGACTGGTCAACCAAAGCCTCAAATGCAAGACCAAAGAGAACGAAGAAGAAAGCGACAGGCTCGTCGCGATAATTGATATCGTGGCCTTTGCTTCCGATTTCTCCTTTCGGCGCATCCTGTTCATCCTCATCCGACTTTTTCGACTCTTCAAGATCAGACTTGCCGTCTAACGCGTCAAAAACAAAATCAATATCCTTTTCGACCAACCCAGCAATTGCATCAACAAGGTTCAACCAGGAATCTTGGTAGAACTAGATATAAGAAGTTAATATACGGCGTTCATTTATCAGTCGAGTCTTATCCATACCTTCAAAAGTGTCTCGCGGTTCAGTGCAGCGTACACTTCGTCCAAGTCGCCCCCTAATGGTCCTGTGCCCAGACTTCCCGAAATATCTGGCTCGAATCTCAACCGCGCGTATTCCTGAAGAGAGGAGAGCCAGAGGGGCGTAAGCTTGGTAAGGTATGGCTGAACGACCTCATTCAGATATTCTTGCTCGGTACTAGCAATCTGCAGCCGTGCCCAGGCAGAATACAACGCCATTTTGACCATGACCCTGGCATTGGAATTGAGCCCTTTCAGTTCGCCGATTTCGGTTGTATCCAGATTATCTTGGGTTCATTAGCAAAGACCGATGCAAAAGCTTGATGAGCATGCTCACTAGAGAAATTCTCAAGGCCAAGAACCAGAAGTTTCAGAATCCTGCCCATTCGCTCTACGTTCGTCACAATGCCTGTCGCAATGAATGTTGCTGAGACATTGATGGCCTCAGATGCAAGTTCGGCAGACGAGTCAGCAGCAAACGCCGGGGTCAGAGCCGATCCAATCTGGGCCTGATATTGCTCAAGGAGAGACGCCTCCGTGAAGTCCGGGTCTGGAGTTTTTCCAAACATCTGCGGTCGGATGTCAGTAAGATCATTCTAAAGACGGGAACAGGCAGGAGTCATACTCTTAGGACCTGGTCGATAATCTTCAGTCCCCAGATCCGGAGCTCTATCACATTTGCTGTAGAGGCCGAGAACGCCATCCTGACAATGTCTCCGACCTTCTGCTGTAAAGCAAGTTCAGCGGGAATGGCTTGGTCTGGCAGGATAGCCTCCTGGACGATACACAGGAGCTCACTCAGACAACTCATAACAAAGTTTCGAGTTTGCCATTTTAGCAGTTCCTGTCCGGATACTGCGTCATGGGCCCCATCGGGCTGTCCGGCTCCAGCAATGGCAGACGCAAAACCTGCAACCTCGTCATCCGGCATATCGTTAGCCGATGGCTTCACAGCAGACGTAAGAGGCGGCTCTTCCGCTTTGACGCGCGTCTTGGTCAAGGTATTGTGGCAGCGCTGAATCCAGAGCTCCGTCTCTTCGAGCGCTGTCTGTTGCATCCAATCTTGGATCATGCCCTTCAGAATTGGATTTTCAGGCGTATCGTCAAACGCAAGCCAGATTTCCTCTTCAAGCGCCGGAGTGGCGGTGCGGATAACAGAAGCGGCGTCTCTTTTCATCAGGTTGCTAAGGCCTCGGATAGCCACGTCCCTCATAAGAGGATTATCAGCAGAAAGCTCAACCTGCAAACGTTTGACATATCCAGAGAAGTCGACGTATGTCGGCGCATATAGTGACAGATGATCCAGGCACTTTGAACTCTCCGTGACCAGGGCCGAGTTGTCCTCCAGCTGGAATTGCCTGAGCAGGGTGAGGATAAGGTTTCGCGTCTTCGCAATGTCTTGGAGGTCAGGTCCCAGCACATTGATTAGCGAGTCAACACAGCGACTGATGAGGACAGGAGTGAGGAAGGTCATCTCAATATTGGATGTAGCCAGGGTAGCTGCCTCTTCATTGTGAGTATCCGCGTTGTACAACTGAGCGAGCATTCCGAGAGAACTCGAAACAAAAGGCGAAAATGTCAACCCCGCGGAGTTCGCAACTCGTTCTAGACCACCCAGAGCCCAGAAGTGGACCACTGGGTGAGGGTCGTTACATAAAGACATTAAGACGCCAACGATGGTTTTGAGATGCAGACCAGCTGCCATACCACCGACCTGGGAATGAATGCAACCTAAAGCAGCAGCGCAACCAGCGCGGGCATTAGGCTCTCTATTTTCAACAATCTTATCCACAAGCCAATTAATTTGTGTATTTGTGAAGGCGTTGCCGGAGCTCTCGCACAGCCGTCCAAGCGCCTCCGCGCCGACTGTTCGGACGATTAGGTCGGGATCAGTGACGAATTTCTGTCATCATTAATCTTTCCGTCTTGTCTGCAAACATTAAGGCACTGATTTCTCACCTGAACAAGCTCTTGTAGGACTTTATCAGTGGCGGGGTTGAGTCTCCCAGCTCCGGGGCCAATTTCCTTGACCGAGACTTTGAGGGCATGGAGAAGCGCCACAGCAACGTTGACTACCATAGCAGCCTTGCGGCCAGGGTTTCGCTGAAGGCTGGGCGACGCGAGATATGTTGCAATCTGCTCTACACTGCTTTCCTGAACCTTAGGGGCGTGCAATGAAATAGCCACGGAGAAGAGATCGATGGCCGCATTTACGACACCAGTTGCGTGTGGATCAGCCACAAGGCAATCTCCTTGTCTCGATGAATAGAGCAGGACCGAGTCGTGTTCGCTTGCAGGAAAGATTGGGAACGTCAACTGTTCATGTCAGTACAAAGTCAGAAGCAGGTACTTATGTCTTGTCTTGTACTTACGGCGTCATCGATACTTTGATCTACCGAATCGACTGCCGACCATGATGGCCCATTCTCATTGTCGTTCTTGCCATTAAGCGCCGCGCGAACATAATCACGGGTGATACCCGTCACCCCAAACCCGTAGTTATCGCAGAGATCCCATAAGGTGTCGAATTGCGCGGATGAGGCTGCAATCGAGCTTTCCAGAGGACCTGCCTGTGCAGCATCGGGGTCTGCGAAAGAGGAAATTGCTAGACTCAACAGGCTAGATTGAGAGATGACGTCGCCACGACTCAAGGGATGGACGTGAAGTAGCTTGGAGAAACACTGCAGAACACGTCGTCGGACCATCGTTTCGATATCGTGCAACTGCAGCGATGGGTGGAGACGCTGTGATGAATCATTTACGGACTTTTGCCGCGGAAGGTCTTCGAGAAAGTCAACTGTATTCTGAAGCATTGCTGCGATTCTCTTCGCACCGTCCGCTGTGATCAATTTGCTATTGAACTCCATGAAGACCAGTAGTGCGCCTAGAGCACATTCCCTGACATGCGCAAGAAAGCTCATCTCCAATACTCCACGCTGAGTCGAGTTTTCCTTACTCAGATGAAGTGGAAGTGCATTCTTCCAAAGCAACATCAACTGCGATAGATGTATTTTGACAAAGCTCGGCCCGAGGGGCATTAAACCTCCAATCAAGATCCAAGCGACTTGTATTTGCGTACAGGCGGCACGTAACTCGGAGTTGCTGCTGGTTTTCAGAAGTTCGGTTGCTTGAGTAAATACACGGGAAAACACATCAACAGACCCGTACAGAGGTTGCAGTCGAGATGTACTTAGCATGGCCGAAAGACCATTGGCATAACCAACACATCGACGCGGCGACTGTCGAGGAGTGCCCAATTGGCCAACTTCTCTGTTCAAGGTATTCAGACAGATGGTGACACAGGACAGCAATTGATGCGGGCAGGCGAGAACGAAATTGCGCAAGCAATGCGCTGCATGTATTTGGACGGTGTAGCTGGGGTGAGACAGAACCTGAAGCAAAGCCTCACGGCAAGGTTCAGCGAGAGTAGCAAATGCAGAACCAAGGGATACAATCAGAGAAGAAAGTGCGCTCAGAGCGCTAGTCAAAGAGTGCTTGCTTGGCTCACGCCGCTCCTGGACCACCTGAGGGTAATCTTTGAGCACATCGTTGATCAACCATTTAGCCGCATTCAGTTGGCTAGTCTCTCGGAGCGATTCACGACCAACAGTATCTTCTAGAATGCTTTTGACAAACTTCCTTGTCATCAGAAGTCGGAACCGGTTGTACGTTACCGTAGGATGGTTCAATAGATCGAACAGGAGGTGAGTCGCGATCTGGCCGTAGCGATCTTCAATTATCTTGTCACCTAGAATGCGCAAGACGTGTTTATAGCATACAGCGATGCCAGCGCGAGCTCGATTAGAAGTCGCGCTCTTGAGGTATTGTGTAGAAAGCTGGCGAAGGAGGTCCGGAAGGAGAAAGAATAGACGTGTATCTGCTTTCTTGGTAGTTGACGACTCTGAAACCTCGGCCTCCTCGTCGTCTTCCGTCGGTTTCGCTGTTGGTTTTCGTGATAGTCTTTTGGATTTCTTAGGCTTCGGCACAGAAGCGATTCGAGTATCCGACGCATGCAGTTTGGCTAACGCACGGGCGAGACAGGCTGCAGCGGCGTGTCGAACGGGGGCCACGGGACTGTCAATTGCCTTCCAAACCACGGCCTTTAAGTGATCAAAGTCATTCCCGTTATCGAAGTATGGAGTCGTGTTCACAAGCTGTTCAAGGCAGCGACATGCGTGGACTTGGACAAACGTCGATTTGTCCCCGGTCGCGGCATTGCGGGCTTGCTTCCAGATGTCTCGGGCTGTAGCTTCGTCGACGGGAACACCAGAGCCAACCACTACTTTCCGCAGCACGGAAAACACTGACCCACGGCATCCCGTATGGTTGCTCGAGGCTTTGAGTAGCTTCAATAAGCTTGACACGACTACACCGGATTGCGCAAAGACACTCTCTCCGGCGACCGCGAATACCTCTCCCAGGCAGTGAGCTGCAGCGAACTTGGTTTTGAGTTCTGCCTCAGTTTTACTCGCATTCAGAATCCCCAGCAGGTCGGTCACTGTCTCGAAAAGAACCCCGCGATCGCCCTTGCCGAAGATAGCACCGAAGCAGCGTCCCAGGTTGTTGCGAATGACTCGGGTGATCGTTGGTGACGGCAAGGTGAGAATCTTGAAGAGCTCCTTTTTCAAGAATTTCTGCTGCGACGATACCTGAGGCTTGTCCAGTCCCGAAATATGCTGGACTAAGTCCGAGGTGAATGTGAGGAGGTAGAGGTCCTGTTGTTCGGAGGGGAGCGCATGAAGCTTGCTGATGTCGAGCTCCGCACGGGGAGCCGCATTATCGGCGGCGGACGAAGTAGACGTAGCATTTTCGGATGCAGACATTGGGTTTCGGTCGTCCCACCTAGGACGTCCCCTATATGGGGTCTATAATGTAACGAAGGGTGAAGTGGGAGACAGGGTCGAAGGGGGGTGAACGGTTGGCGACTAAGTGGGCTGGCACTGGCAGTACTCGCCGACCTTAACAATACGTAGTTAGTCGATGGGCCCCTTAAGCGGGCACTTGGCCTCATTTCCGGGGGCGGTGGCGGAGAAACTGTTGGGCCGGCCCCGCTATCAGATTGAGAGATGCGGTCCGATTGTACTGCACTGCACTTAGATCCATGCATTTGTTCCATGCCGCTCCGGGAGCAGAAATGGTGCTGCCCGCTCATCAATAATATTTCTCGGTCAACATCGCAATGGCCTCCTTAGTGAGCAGAAGCCTGATGCAGCAGCGCGCTGCTCGCGCCAACCAGCTCACGTACAATGCCTGCCGTAGCTTTACCAGCAGCTCCCCGTGGTCTGCAGGACACAACCGTTGGTCTAAGATCAAGCACGATAAGGCCAAGGAAGACAAATTGAAGAGCAAGGAGCGTCAACTCATGAACAAGGAAATCAGCACGGCAATCCATTGTGAGAATCTCAGTCCGCTCAACTTCCTTGCTGTAATGTCTATGCTAATTCAGCGCAGTGTGGGGACCCGATCCGGAGTACAATCCACGCCTGACCCTTGCCCTCTCGAATGCGAAACGAGCCGGAATTCCCAAGAACGTTATTGAAGCAGCTCTCGCTCGGGGGAAGGGCATAAGTTTGACGGGCGAAGCGCTGGAACAAGTCACTGTTGAAGCTATCCTGCCCCATAACGTCGCGGTCGTGATTGAATGTCAGACCGACTCAAAAGCCCGTCTATTGCAGGACGTTAGACATACTATCAAGAACGCTGGAGGAGCTGCTACCCCAACCATCTATCTTTTCGAGAAGAAAGGTAGAATTGTATTCGAGAAGAAGGATGGCGTGGACCCAGACGATTATCTAGATCAGGCTATTGAAGCGGGCGCGACCGATATCACATCTGATGATGAAGGCCGCCTGATTGTCTTCACGGACCCTACGGAAACAAAGAGCGTGGGGGAATCGCTGTCCAAAGCCATCGGACTTTCAGTCGAAGAACTAGAGATATTCTGGGACCCAAATAAGGACACTGTGGTGGATATCACAGACGAGGAGGCCGTGAGACAGATTGAGACTGTCATGGGCAAGCTTCGAGAGGAGCCATGCGTTAACGATATATACATGAACACGCGCCAGGCGTTCTAACAGGTTGCGGGCCCTGGTTAAGGTGTCTACGGGCCCAAGCACATAAAGAATTGTATTATAAAATTAGAATGCCATACTAGATGTATCATAGATAGTATCACGAAGAAAGCTTACTTAGAGGCAGTCACCATTCAGTGTGCACTAATGACGTTGGATCTAGATTAATCATTCCTTTCTCAATGCTTTCATGGTGCTGCGCATCAAATTCCCAATCCCGACATTTCCTGTCGCATCCAACCAGTCGAGCATTCGAACACGATACTCCTGCCAAGTCAGCTTCACGCCGCCCTCTTTCTCGAGGGCACTGAGTGCTTTCTGAGTCACGGGCCTTTGCAGTCTTGGTTTACTCTCGTCAATGCCATTACCCTCCTCAATATCTGCAAAACATGCTGCGGACAAATTGCATAGAGCGACATGGTGACTCAGAGAGAATACAGAAGAGATGGTGAACAAGAAATTGGCTTCTCGCTTTTTGTCCCGTGAGTTATCGTTCAGGTTGCGGATGAATCGCGTGAGGGCGTTGACTGTGGGCGCCGGAATCAAGCAACCTAGTGCGTTGGGGTCTTCCGAATTGAGTCCGCGATTACGCCAGAGCAAATTGCAGATATCCATTATGTACCCGTTAAACTGACCCACAAGGTCTGTCGGATATAGTGAGTCTGCCGAGTGAGGGATCTGCAATGCTGGAGAAGTGAGAGAGGCTTCGAATGACGACTTGTAGGTTGCAAGTACTGAGCTCATGATCGATATGACCGAGCTAATCGGGGTGAAGACAAGTGTATAGACTGTTGGAGCGAGAGGAATCGTAAGACGGATGCTACCATTCGACGATGCGTGCGAAAATAATTCAGCCAAGGTGCAGTAGAAATCAAGGACAGACAATGTGGCGGGCTTTGGCCATTGACTTCCGCCGTCTGCTGCAGGCTGGATCGTAGACTCGAGACTCGACAAAGCCAAGAGTTCTGCGTGCGAGATAAGGCGCCCCAGTGGCTTATACTCATGGGCGCTGAAGGGTTGAGATCTCAGGCGCACACCCCATTGACGAATCAACAAAGAGTAGAATTCTAGAAGAGCCGATTGGGAGTGAGGCATGCCGTCTAATACCGAGGCCTCTACATGGATCAAGAACTCCTGCCGCAGGGTTTCATATTCTTGGAGGGGTAGATATGATAGTAAGCGGAGCACTTTCTCTTGATTGTCATAGCCGTTCCACAGAAGGACATATTGCTGCAGAAATGGGAGCAAGGCGTGGGGTATTTCCTGCGGTCGAGTAAGTATTCACGATAGATGAGACTGAGCCAGAAGCCATACCTTTGTATATTGCGCATAGTTCAGTGCAAGGTCCAGAATGTATCCAAGTGACTCTAGCCCTTCTTGGTCTTGATTCTGGATGCGCTCTAATTGATCATCAAGGAAGCTTTTCATCCAATCATTCAGGCGCTGGTGCGCAGCCACGGGCTGGGCTAAAAAGAGATATTTCTGAGCCAAAGCATCTCCCATCATGGATATTATCTGGTCAGGGAGTTCAATTCGATCAAGTCTTTCGACAAAGTGGTCCACACTGCGCAACTCTTCCAATGCGGTATGGTATAATGAAACACGCGATGTTTGGACATCAGGCACAATGACCTCCATTTTCCCTCTCTTGATGAGTCCGCGATGCACTACCTGGAAGTTTGAGGGCTGAGTAGCCTGAAGCTTCTCCATATGCGTTTCTTGGACCTGTCTCACGTGAGCTGTCCACTCAGGATCGGGGTGCTTAAAGAACAATGCCTTTCGCCCTGACGGTCCAAAATCGCCCACAATGACATCCGGGCAGTAGTTCTTGAACGCCCTGAGTAGGGTGAGAAGCTCTTTATCGTCGCCCCCGGAAGCACTGAGAAGCTCCATGAGTGCCTGGATCCTGAAAGGTTTGACGTGCTTGCGCCTGGTGATCAGCGAGAGCAGGTGGCACAGAGGCTTTCGCAAGCTTATCATATCAAGATGGTTGAAGAGTACCGCATAGAGCTTTGACAGGTGGGACCTATCATCCAGAAGATCGTACACGAGAATCAGCCATCGCAGAAGCAGAGCCTGCGTCGCTGGACTGGGCTTTGTCTTGGCAGGTCCTAAGCAGCATACGACTTGGGTAACAATCTTTGAGGATATCCTTTCTTGCGGATATAAGTTCTTGATCAGAGTGGTAATTGTTCCTTGGTCAAGGTGATTGCTCTTGGTGAGGACTTTGATTAGACGTTCGAGGCCAAATTGAGAAATCCCGCTCTCGTAGGCGCGTGTAGCTATTGTTTTGGCCAGCTGGCCAGCATCCGTGTATCGCTGCTTGGCGCGAACCAAGGCAACTGATCGGAGTTAGAGATCCAAAGCTCCAAAGTAATCTGTTGCTAAGGGACTTACCAGCTTCAAAATGCTCAATCGCATCCTGTAGGCTGGTTGGTGCGATGTCGGAGCCTAAATGGATTATTAACATCGATAGTCAACGAATGTCAGGTGCACAACCAACCTCTGTCTGAGTCCGACGACATCGTAGTCATTTATTTTGTCTTATCGATCTGAGCGAAGATTCTCAGTGCAGTTCCAATGCGATATCTCCTAGCGCATATCAGGCTGCACCGATGCCTTGTTGCTTTAAATCATCCAAGTCGCGCGCGAACTCGAACGTGTCGCGTCTACTACACGATACTCAACTGATTTGTCACAAAAAACAACCAGCAATAAAGATACCCACTACTCTTGACTAGAGTCCCGTCTATGGTTTCTCTTGCGTATGCGGGTTTTGATTGCCAACAAACTCGGTCGCACTCGCAGATCTGGAAGAGAGGCGCGGAATTTGGAAATGGGTAAACTTTACCAGATTTGGCAATCAACTGGCGAGCGTTCAACTAGGTATTCATACCTCTCAACGACGGCGTTCACTACAGCGCGTGTCTAATGGTCAAGGTTTGAGCACCGTCTCGGACTCAGAAAGAGATGCAGGCTGTTGAGTCATAATTAACTTTAAATATGTTTTATATAGGTCGCCGAGCTCATTCTCCAGGTACGATGCAAATCGAACTATAACGGACCGCGTCGGCTCAATACTTTTCTATACTCAGAAGACGAACGTATTGGGCGACTGATTGTTGAGAGATCATGAAAAACATGTTGAGCAAGATGGACTCTTCCCGTACAACCACGATGCTCTCGAGCACGTCCCCTCCATTGGGCCGCTCACAGACTCATGACTAGCATCACCCTACTTTCTTTTCCTTGCCGCCTCCTTAGACTTCTCGTTGCCAGATGCGGTAGCCGACGCTTCAACTTTGGGCTTCTCAGCCGAGGCAACTTCGTCCTCATCCTCACTGTCTCCTCCCTGGCCGAACTCGTTGACACGTGTGTAGTCGACCTTGTATTTCCAGCCCTGGTAAAGCCAGACAAAGAAAATCACGTCATCTCTAAGAGTGGCGAGTCTATGAAGCCATGGCATCTTGACAGTGAATGCGAAAAGATCGTCGATGAAAGTATTGAGGAACTTGTACATCAGCGCCTTGCCGGGCATGTGAGCGACAGACTATCATTTTGTTAGCAATGAGACAGTTCAAGTCCATCCAGACTATTCACTGACCTTCAGTCTGTAGTTAATATAGAGACTAGGAACCATCATCAGGAAGCCGTAGGCGTAGACGCTTCCAACCAGTGTCTCAATGACATAGGAATACCATGACTTGTGGGTGTTGTAGATGAGGCTGTAGGCTGCGTATGCTGCGAGAAGGGGCACGGCGATAATGTAGAGGTAACGGAACGCAATTTCGTCGTATTCCTTCGTCTTCTGCTCGGTTTCGCTGAGCTTGTGTTTGTCCTCGAAGACCACCACGTAAGGCAGGAAGGAAAAGAAGGATCCAGCTGGCGGCGGACGCAGGCGCACATCCACAGTTTTCGTAATTTTCCACGCCTCAAGCAATATACCGAAGCCCTGACTGGCAAGAATCATCCAGGACGTGTTCTCACTGTTATCCATCAAATAGAGGAAGATAACAGCTTGCATGAACACATTAGCCAGGATAGTGCGGACGGAAGTGCCAACAACGTCCTTCTTCTTACGCCAGTGAGACTGTTGAGAACCAACCATTAGTAATGTTTCCACTGCAAGATTCCGCCTACGCATGGGTACGGATGACCTACAATGTCGTTCTTGAACGCGAGAGTTTCGAAAACCATGTGAAGAATGGTGACCACGCCAGTGGTTCCCAGAAGCCAGATATTCGTATCCAATAGTACTTCCTTGATCATTTCGAACTCGGAGCCATCGCTACCGCCGGGGGCAGCATTTCCAAAGGCAGCCTGTCTGGCGGTCTCCTTAGCATTGGCATCAAGACTGGCCATCATGTTGAACTTCCAATTTTGCAGATTGTTGAGGGTGATGCGCAAAGGAACAGTGTCAACAGTCGAATTAAGCTCCATCATATGGGTCTTGAGCTGCCAGAATGTGTTGAGGAAAACGATTGGGTAGTACCAACCGTTCTGACCGGTGGAATCCCTCGCGCCGCTGGATTCCAGCTGCATGTGGTGTCTAATGGCAGGATGAACTTGACGATACTTCTGAGCCCCGGAGTCAGGAATGAAAGAGACTGTGAAGTTGGGATGATAGAACGACGCGATAGAGACATTTGGGGTGTCATCAACATCTTCCTCTGCAGCTTGGTCGTGAGAGGCAAGAAGACTCTTGAGCTTCTTAGCCTTCTTCTTAGGGAGATACTGGTTCAAAGGGCGATAGAAGTGAACCGCGCTATCCGTGCTATAATCCTTTGCTGTAGGATCAAGTTGATGTCCACTCAGTCCAACAAAGAAGTGTGCCCAGAGCGTACCGTTGCGCTGAACTTCCTTAGGAACCTTAATGGTGGTATCAATTTCCCTGGTGTCGCTGTAGTTACCGAGCGTGAAATTCTTCTCTTCCAAGACAAGTGAGCTAGACGGGAGAGTCTTAAGGTTTGGTACAGCGATGGAAGGAGAAACATAGATATTCATATCGAGGGAACTATCGGTAGGCCAGATCGGCGAGACGAGGTCAGGGATGTGGCTGTAGTTGGGAATCTGGCTGCGAGGCGGACGAGCAGCAAAACTGGGCACATCATTTGGCTTTGCGCCAGAGACAGTGGCTTCTTGATTGCCGCCCATAAACTGGCCCATGATGAACTTGGCGAACATGAAGACAGCCAGGCCCTGAAGGACGCCTCTGAGGCCGGACTAGAAAGCAGAGACCAGGATGTCAGCCACTGGCAGTTTCGAACAATGCAGAAAGACGGGATATACTCACGCCTAGCCCCTCCTCCTCCCTACGTTGTCTTTGTTCAGGCATTTTTGACCCGCTGTTATCGCACCTGGTCAGCAGAACAAGAACAAGGTGGAAAAGGGAGAGGGGAGAAGGTAAGAAAAGGCCACGCGCGAAGGACGGAGGCGAGCGATGGCCCAGAATGGCCGGGTGTTTTGCGGGTCCGTCTTATCGCCGGGCGGCCTACGAGCATGACATAAATCGGGTCTTGCCGACCGACCGACCGACCAGCTGCGATCTCCAATCTACAGAGTACTCGTATTATTACCGGAGATCGCACGCACCCCCCCCCCCCCCCGCGCAAAGAGACTCTGCCCCACGTTACCAACAAAAAAAGTGATCCCTGTTTAAGATTGGGGTTCACGTGGTATTGAAGGGCGTCTCGTCGCGCAATTCGACATGCTGGGCTTTCGAATGTCGGCCTAAATCCAATGACGGACAATCATCCTTCTCCCGATTACTCCCGCCCTCAGTTTCCTGCCCATCATGAGCCACGGGTATGGGTGATTACGGCTGGAGACTCGCCTATCGGGATATCAGTTACTCGCCAAATCCTCAAGCATGGTGACTGTGCTCTGGTAGGACGGGCATATTCAGAGTCTGATCGGGACGAATGTCGTCGCGATGGCTTCGACGCATTTCTGGCGGAGATCGAAAGCCACAGCGACGAGGGCTGGGGGCAGCGGTTCATGGCTGTTCCCCTCGATATAAGGTGCGCGGTCGATAACATCCGCTTCGCTCACTATTGGGTATGGCGCATGCTTACATCTATTTCGCAGAATGGTCGGTGAATGCCAGGCAGTGGTCGCGCAAGCTGTTGCGACATTCGGAAAAGTAGACATTCTCCTTTGCTGCACAAGTCAAGGTACATCAGCCAAAACGCCCGACCTCACGCCCAGTACATCTCCCGCTAACCAACTGCATAGCCCTCATTGGTACAGTGGAAGAGCTAGCAGTTTCCCAGCAGACCTTGAACCTGGTTCGGGAACAGTTCGAGATTAACTACTTCGGCCCCTTGAACATCATCAAGGCGACACTTCCCCATATGCGTAGACAAAAGTCAGGGCATATCATGATCATTTCTGGCATAAGTAAGAGCTTGCACAAGCCTCGCGAAACCGAGCATCCACACTAACAGCAAGCAGCTGCTCACATCGGCACACCGGGCCTAGGAATGTACTGCGCTGCAGGCTGGGCTCTTGAGGGCTTCTGCGATGTAAGAGTGTTCCTCTAGAGACATAATAAGCAATTGTCGCTAATGTTGTCACTACTGCTACCCAGAGTCTCGCATACGAGATAGCCCCCTTCAATGTCAAACTTACCATCTTCCAGTGTAGCATCGAAATTGGGATCCTCACCAATCTGGTTACCAGTGTCCCTCCAATCACTCCCGTCTACTCTTCCTCGGTCAATCATGCGCCATTGTTCCGCGGGATCTTAAATCGTCTCGTCTCTCGCCTGCCTAACCACGATGCTCGTAACCCGGGTTTAGCAAATGGCTCGGTCAGCTCCCATCGAGGTAATCCTGTCGAGGACGGTCCATTCTCTGCGCCAGATGTCATCTCCACGTACCCTCCGCTCAGCTCTGCGCACATGGAAGTCCTGGTTACCGAGACCGTGTATGCTATAACGGCAATTGGTGGTCACGAAAACCCACCCTCGCGACATATTGTGGGCCAGGAGGGTGTTGCTAGTGTAAAGGAAAAATTGAAGACGGTCAGCGAAGAACTCGAGGACTTCATTCAATCAAGCTTTGCTGTTGACTATGCGGCCGATGATACTAGCCGGGTACCCAAGGATGACGGCATGGGCACTGGTCAGGAAGCAACCTGAAGCAAAGTTCATGATTTAGCTAATAAAGCATGGCGACATGTTGTCAGCCAGCCAATCTCATACGATTTCTTCTATCCTAGACTAGTCCAATGACAGGCTGTGTTTAGATCGAATTCGAGACGGTACCTACATCAACTAGGTTGATGTTCCCTTCTTGTTCTCGCGCAAGAACCAGGCGTGTCTGACTTCCCACAAGCTTCCTAAATCCTGGTTGTTTCTGTGAGCTCGAAACTCCTTCCAAGAATTACCATTGGGCACCTTCTTGATTCGCCCATCTATCTCTATGATTTTCGAGGCCAACGCATTGAGTCCTCGAATGTTGGGTATTATGATCTCCTTAGCATCTTGCGCATGGTCTGTAGGTGGTGCCGCCGTTGTATTTAGGCTATCCTGGTTGGAATCTGGTTTGGGAAGTGGCTGATCCGTAGACGCTTGAACTTCCATGTCTTCCAGACCTACATTGTCATCCGTAGTGCTGGTTTGGGGCTCCGAACACAGAGGTTCATCTTCGGGAAGTGGACTTTCCGTAGGTGTTTGATTTTCCACCTTTTCCAAATCCAGGTTGCCAGTTGCACTGTTGTTCTGAGACTCCAAGCGCGGCCTCTTGCTGTCAGGGAGCTCAGAATCTCTCGTGCGTTTGTGATGAGAAATAATCTCCACCTCTTCGGCTTCCAGCGCCGATCCTGTGTCAGTCTGACCGTCCTCCTGTCGTAGATACGCTTCGGTGGTTTCTGTGTTGTTCGTCAAATTCGCTCCATTCGTGGGGCTTGTCGAACCTATCGCGGAATCCGGCGCAGAGGAAAGGAAGACACGCTGCCCTGGTGGGACGGCGACGGTCAAGTCTGCGCCCTCGATCTTCACGATCTAGAGAGGAGTCAGCAGCCCGGAATTCCTCTACGCGACGAAGGAAAGGTACCAGGGGGGTTCACATACTCTAGCTTCCTTCTCAACAAGGATCTTCTGACTGCCTACGGAGAAGACTCTGGAGTACGTCAAGACATCGCCTTCACAGATCACTCCGTTATCAGTCAGCATCTTCAGTTTGACCTGAGAGCTCTGTCCGGCCACCAGACTCCGGTCCACTTTCTGTTTCTGGCCCCAGAACTCCTCGAACTCCTCCTCCTTGAAGCGATCAAATTTCCCCGCCGCCCTCTCTTCGACGGCTTTCTCCGCTTGGCGCTGCCATTCCGGATGGTAGCGACCATGCTGGAGATCCAGCTGGAATTGGCGGATGCCGTCGCGCCAGTTATTCGAATAGCGTAGAAAGGACTCCGGCGGCGGGGGGATCTTAGCCTCGGGGTCGCCAGCCGGAGGGTAAGGATTCGGGTGCGCGTTGTCGGGCAGGAGTTTGAGAATCTCCTCCTTCTCACTCTCCTCCAGACATGACCAGGCTTCAGGATGACGAAGCAGTGTCTAGTTTATAGATCGCACTCATTAGTCTCCCAAATTCCACCAACCAAAAGTATCAAGTAAGCCTCCCCCCGAGGGGACGCCGTCAATGTGAGACACATACCACCAGATCCAGGTCAACCAGCCGCGACTTCGGGCTAGTCAACAGGTGCTCCTCACTCCATTGTTTGTTCGCGGCCGCCCGCCTCGGATTCCGCTTCGGTCTGGCGTTTGTCGGTGACATCGCACAGCTGCTGCTATTATTAGGTTCGCCCGGGTTGTGCTGGTCCTCCGCCTTCGAAGATCGATTGGTTCGGCTCCTGGAACATCACTTCTGATCAGCATTGCCGAATAAGAATAAAGGCCTTTTCCCCTTTCCCACAGAGTCAGTCGATTCAATCCGATTGTAACCTTTCAGGGGAGCGCGCGCGCATGACAAGACAATCGATCTACTGGACGGAACTGGTCGGTCGTACCTCGTCACTCGCTGACACTCCGAATTGCCGGCGTCGACCGCCTTGCGCTTGGGGGCCATTGTTCCGCGGCGGCCTGGCCTGGGCCAGATAAGTCGGAGTAGAACAACAGCGATAGCTGGCGTCTGCAATACTGTCACCGACGCAGCAGTTAGCTTGTTTTCTGAAGAAATCAACTCTCAATATCTTCCTGTCAAGATGGTCAGGTCAACTCAAATCGCCAGGATCGATGGTATGGTTAGAATGCTACTGCTGCTGTTATGGGGAGAGGGGGTGTGTGTCCGCAGCTTGGCTAATGTTTAGAGACAGGCTTGATGTTGGCAGCGTCGGTGGACGATGAACAGGTCAGTCGGTTGGCGAAGCGCTTTCAAGTGAATGTGAAGCATAGTGGCATCGTCACTAACACAGAGCGCTTTCTTTCCTTGCACAGTCCGAGGTGGAGCTGTCAGAGATCAAGTCTCAGGCGAAGATGATATTCCGTCGCTTGAACCGTAATTCAGAGCCGCAGGCGAGCATTGAATCCGGCCAGTTCAGTCTACAGTAAGGACAGAGTGAATATTTTGGAACCCAACTTATGCTCACTCCCGCGCGTTGTCTAGCTATATCATCCAAGACGACATTTGCTTCCTCTGCATATGCGATCGCTCCTACCCCCGCAAGCTTGCCTTCACTTATCTTGCCGACCTTGCGACAGAATTCACCACCACATACTCGCCAACACAGTACCAGTCTCCCACCCTGCGACCGTACGCCTTTGTGGAGTTTGATACCTTCATCCAGCGGACCAAGAAGCTCTACCAGGACAGTCGTGCGTCGGCGAACCTTGACCGTTTGAATGACGAACTTCGGGATGTGACAAAGGTGATGACCAAGAACATTGAGGATCTACTGTACCGTGGTGATAGCTTGGAACGCATGGGAGAGTTGTCCGGCCGGCTTCGGGAAGACAGCAAGAAGTACAGGAAAGCGGCGGTCCGCATCAACTGGGAGCTGCTTGTCAAGCAGGTGAGTACAAACGCCTCCATGGCACACAGAGAGTACCGCTAATCGTTCCATAGTACGGCCCATTTGCAGGCGTCGGCTTCATTCTCCTTTTCATGATCTGGTGGCGCTTCTTCTAATTCTGCGCTTGGCAGCCACAAATTTGTATACCCACTAATATGAATGTATGCATAGTTAATGTCTTCGGTGGATGCAGGACACCATCGTCCTTGGCTCAGAACTCGAGAGAATTTCTGAATTCATACAATTCCTGTTTCATTGTCTGCCGCGAGTGTGTGTGTATGCGTGAGGCACGTGTGACGCATGTGTGATAGATTTCGAGTCCCTCTATGTAATCATAAGTCATTAAGGTAGTCATATTCTGCGGGCCAGAAAAGCGTGGGATCGTTCGACCCAGCATCTAGACAGCTTATCAACTCCGTGAAACAGAATTTATGGCCGGTGTGTCTATCTCAGATCTCATCCTCCTCTTCGTCAAAGTCGTCTTCCTCTCCCATGTCGTACAAGATCCGGCCCCCTTCGCCTGGGCCGTCGCCTTGCTGCGCATCAAAGTACGGCAGCACGACACCTTCACGATCCCTCCTCTGTCGATCTGTAAGACGGAGCTCAAAAGTCGATTCGGGTTCCTCTTCTCCCGCGCCAAAGTCCGGCTCCTGTGGCGGGCGATACAATGGGTGGTCGTCCAACAACGTCACGATCTCCTTTGCATACTGTGGGGGATAGCGCGAAGCCGGCGGCAAGATGTACCATTCCAGAACGCCGCGGCCACTTTTTCTCCGGTGCTCCAACTCCAGTACAACGCCCTGGGCGGAGTCGTTGCCGATCGGCTTATCCGATCTTCCCAGAAGCACGCCATCCAGTTCTTCTTCCAGACCGAAAACCGGCGGAACCAGACTCCTATCGCGAGCCGCCTTTTGAGCCAGTATGTGTGAGAACGAGTGCAGGCGGATGATCGTGGTTGCGAGGTAGGTCAACATGGACAGGGGCGACGGGGTGTAAGGCGACGGAAGCGGCGGGCTGGGGACATCTTGGTGGAAGGTGACCACGAGCGAGGCTTCGACTTTAGAGGCCGCGGGGCCTTGTGGCATGAGGAATGAGCTCAGGAACGACGATACGTTGAAATGTGCGTCGGTTCTCCTCGCATGCAGGAGCGGGTTGATGGCATCGATCAGAATCAGGCGCCCTGGCTTTGTGTTAGTCCTGTTGCCATTGAACCGTTGCCAGGATGGAGGTCGCATATACGTACTGCGAGAGGAACCGCTGGTCGAAACATTTGTGTAGGCTGCATTGACGGCCTTGATAATTTCCAGGGGGCTCTTCTTCCGAGCGGCAACGAAGGCATCGACACCCTCGAGCGGTTTCAGCGTCTCGAATGCGACAAACGTGATATGAACTTTGGATAACTGTGAAGAAAGTTAGTCACCTTCTCATGCAGCGGCGTGACATAGACCCGCTGGACAATTGGGTGTGTGAAGACAGGCACAAAGCTCGCCGGAGTCATAAGTCAATGGTTTAAATCACCTTTGCGCGTCGGATATATTCCTTGATCAATGCTGTTGCGGGCTGCTCTAAAGAATCCAATACCAGCGCAAGCGGCGACGCTGTGTCTCTGAGACTGAGAAGTTTCGATATCAAGAGCAGGTTATGAGTCTGTCTGTGGGAGGTGTTGGTGGGAGCCATTCTGCTGGATTCGGCCGTGGGGAGCAACGGACATTGAAGAAAATGCGAAGATTGCGGGGTCGGTTTTTGCATGCAATAATGAACGCCGCCCGGCGGGGAGCTTAACCTCTGGAGGGGTTCGGCCTCCTCAAGGAGTTCCAATCAGCAAGCTCGCCGGCTTTAAGCTCAGCGCCTGCTTCCGATGTATGAGTAGTCGGATCCACCGGACTTCTTTTCCCTTTCCAGAACTATACATGTCGACATTGAATCGATGTCCTTATGATCGAATCATATCAGTGGTATCTCGACTACTTGCATCAGCCTCCTTAATTTGACCTTCTCGCCAGCATGACTGGTATCAGCTTTCTACGGCACCCGTCACTTCCCACTCTTAACTGCAGTACAGTCGACCCAGTAAAAGAGGTGGTGGCCTGGCTTTCAGCTTTTCCATATGTCATGTCACGGCCTAAGGCAGCTGGGGGCTAGCACAAGCCTTAAAGATACTACGATAGCACTTTATCGTGTTCTTCATCTCGCTTGTGCTCATTTTCTTAAACCCCTACAGACAACTTCTGGCAATTGATCTGACCAGAGCGTTGGATTTATCTACTCAGTTCACCAGAATGCGGGAAATAACTTTACTCATATGCAGGAAACCTCCCTCCTAGAAAAGCGCTACGGTGATCGATACTCTGAAAAGCCCGTTCGCTGCAGTGTAGCTCAGCGGTTCTCGACAGATATATCTTTGTCACCCATGATTCTGCCATTTATATGACATCGCCCCTGCTGAATTCGAAATTCGGTATACCTCAAACATCAACACCTGAAAGCTAACTCCTCTAGCCAGATTTCTTACAGGGTAGAAGAGATTAATCAAGGGTTTGCTGCGAGTATTCTTCGACAAAGCGCGCTGGCTTGTTTATTTGGAATCAAGTATGGGACGGTGCACAAAATACAGTGTTTCACTCTTTCGCTTCGTTTCAATAGTATGCTATGCAGTTTAAGCCGTCTGACTACTAGCTTAAGGCTACAGACAAGCAAGATCGCAAGAGATTGGCAATGTGCCAGGCCTAGTAAATATTTGATAATGATTCCGAAAGTCGAAATTGCCTCCAAGCTTCCGCGACATTAGCCGCGCAAATGGTACAAACCGGCGACCGTAACAACTCCACGCTTTCAGCTTTGGTTTTGGAGTCAGTCACTGGACACAATTTCTCAGACACTCTCCTACATGCTGCCAGCCAGCTCATATTCGTGCAATTGGATAATCCCTCTCAAAATTACGACTGCCATGATTTGACCTGCTTCCAAGTTTTGCTATAGACACATTTTCCCACCTCCCTCCCTACCCGCTATCGTTCGCCGCGGGAACAAAACCTCACGCATCGACTTCACAACACAGCCTACCCGCCACTTCAGCGCATACGTACTACGAGACCAAACCTACAGACCGCGACAATGGCGGACCCTCCAGCGAAACGTGCACGGAGACCCGATAGCTCTACAATGTGGGATCAGGATGACAGGAGAACACGCTCGCCCGAGCCAGAGTTAGATTACACCCGAAGCCCGCGGCGGGAGCATGGAAAGGAGCAAGGCCGGCGCGATGGACCCAGAGATGATCGAAGATACCGCTCTCGCTCGAGGGACCGGAGAGACAGGCGCCGCGATAGGAGCAGGTCAGGCGACCGTAGGGATCGTGATCGAAGGGACCGAGACCGTGACGGGCGAGTTACGAGGGAGAGAAGTGTCAGCAGGGAGAGGTATCATGATAGACGAGGTATGTGGCTCACTGACACCTACCCAGCCGGTACCGTGCCTAACTTGGTGCTACAGGTTATCTATCAAAAGGAGACAGATATCGGTCTCGATCCCCTGTCCGGAATGGCAACAGAGACAGATCCAGGACGCCACCCCCCAGAGGCCCCAGGGCTGACCGTAATCCTGATCGCAGAGACCCTCGAGCACAGCCGAATGGTGTCGCGGACACAAAATCGCGATATGGCCAACCTCGGGACGAGACGGAAATGGATATCGACGATGCCGCCGACGATGACGATTTCGAAGAGATGATGCGCCGGAACATGGGCTTCACAAGATTCAGGAGCACGAAGAATACCAAGGTCCCCGGCAACAATGTCTATGGCATTCGGAAGGAGAAGAAGACGGAGTACAGACAGTACATGAACCGCATAGGAGGATTCAACAGACCACTCAGTCCGTCGAGGCAGTGATTTCATCGCAGATCTCCCTTCACAGAGCTTCATTGCTTGCTATCACTTAC